AAAAAAAAAAAAAAAAAATGAAACAGCATCAGAACACTTTGCATTGAATAATGTTGTCTTATTCTAATTTTTTTCTGAATTTGATTAGATTTGCTTTTTAAAGCGTTTTAAACACAATTCAGAACTCAAGGATTTGTGTATAATAGTGATGGGCCAGACGACACAGAAACCTTGGCATATGAGCTGAACAAACGACATGAAACCCAGGGTTGGTGCGCTCATCTCTTTAAGGAAAACCACATGACCAATACAGTTACCGTGTCGTGTCATTTGGATGTGACCGCGTATTGATGAAGGAGAAACTGTCGACACGTTTGTGGCTTTTGTTAGATGCAGATAATTTGGGTCCTTTTCGTTGGTTTTTGGCTCGTATTTGAAAACCGGCATGAATCAATAGAGGAAGAGGAAGTTTTCTACCATGTGGAATCATTTTGATCTTATCACAGAAAATAATTATTATTCCGTTCTCATTTCCGCTTTTGATCATTTTTCTTTTGGATTATTCAAATTCCTTTCCATAGGATATTTCAGTTAGTTTACATTGTTTAACTTTTATTTATATTGTATATGAAAAACACAGCATTTGCTCCTAAGTTTTGTCTTGCTGTAACTGGAGCACTTCCACAATGCAGGTGCATCACCTGAGTGAAGTTGCCCCCCCACCTTCTTCAAATCAGACAAAATTGATGTCAAAAGTTTGTGCTGATTTGTGCAGCAAAAATTTTCATTTGTGCTGCTATCTTTCTAAAGATGTATAAAAAAAATGTTTCTAGAGATCATCAAAGGCCAATAAACATCAGTTCATGCTGGATCTCTGAATTTCATTTGAAATTGTTCAGTGCTAACCTATGAACATGAATAATTTAATTTTATCGTTGATGAAATTCACTGGGAACTGGGTCTTATTTAGAATGAACTGGTGCAACAGCTCCCAAAACACACTTGGTGACCTGTATTTTAGTTTCTGATTGCCACAAGGTGCTATGAGACAAACTCAGCTGTTGAAATACGAAAAGTGGACTAGAGCAAAACATGTGCTAACTATCTAGTCTGCTGTTTCCATCTCAATTTCATGATTGTATAAGCCTGACACCAATTTTGTCTGATTTGAAGAAGGTTGGGGGTGGGGGGGCTAACTTCACTCAGATTGAGGACCTCAACATGCCCGGCATGAGGGGGATGAACTGGTTAGCACTCAAGTCTTTTTTGAATTTGCCTGCAATGACTTTCTAAATCCAGCAGATGTCACTGCAAGTAACACGACAACACAGTTTCAAAACAATGTCGACACAGTTTGGGAGATGTGCCACACACCCAGTGAGGCTTCATCTGCCCATCACTACTTTATAAGCCGAAGTCATTAATTTTACGTAGAGATTTTAGCTTTCTCACAAAACAAAACTAATTTCTTCTTTAAATGATCACAAAATTTATCAAATAATTTTCCATCACTAGCTCAGGCTTTCCCAGAGCGCGATTATTAAATTTATGCTAAAGAGAGCAAAGCTTTCCGTTTTAGTGTCGGCAACATCAGGTGTAGTACAAAAATGTTTTGGCAAACTACTGTCACCACAGTAACTCACCGAATACATGAAATTAAAGTGTGAAACAAAAATCCTAAGATATGTACTGAAAGCAGAGAGAGCAATGAAAGGGACATTCTTGAGTGAATTTTCATTTTTTTATTTTTCTGCCTGTAGAGAAGAACAATGTAAAAATCTGAAGAACAACAAGACTTGAAATGTTCTGGCCTATTAGCATAACTTTTGTTTTCGATTTGACGTGCCTTTTATGGCTATTAATGCAGACTT